AGTATTGTTCTAGCCTTCTTAGATGACGCCCTGGTTTTAGGTCGGGGCTTCCTGGATCACCTGGAGAACTTGCGATCTGTGTTCATGCGTTTCCGGGAGTACGACTTAAAGTTTAAGCCGAAGAAATGTGAACTATTCCAAACCAAGGTTGAATTCCTGGGGCGGCGGGTAAGCAAGGAAGGCATTGAGATGGGAGATGATTACATTGCTGCAGTCAAGGACTGGGCTGTCCCCAGCAGCACAAAGGAGGTAGAGAGGTTCCTTGGGTTTGCTAACTACCACCGGGGATTCATTGCGGGTTATGCTGAGTGGGCACTGCCCCTCTACAAGATCACAGGCAAGAAGCCCTTCGTCTGGGGCCCGGAGCATTAAGCAGCTTTTGAAAGTTTAAAGAGGGCCCTTACATCTCCGCCTGTCCTGGCCCTCCCCATTCCCGATGGAGAGTTTATACTTGACACCGACGCCTCCAATGAAGCCATAGGGGCCGAACTCTCCCAGTTACAGGATGGCCAGGAGAGACCCATATCTTATGGAAGCCTCAGTCTATCCCCGGAGCAGCGCAAGTACTGCACAACCCGGAAGGAGCTGCTAGCAGTTATCCGCTTTACCCGCCTGTTTCGCCATTACTTGCTGGGGAGGAGATTTATTGTGAGGACAGACCATCATAGTCTTATTTGGCTCCTTAACTTTAAAAACCCCCAGGATCAACTCGCCAGATGGATGGAAGAGCTCAGCCAGTATGACATGGAGATACAGCATCGCCCGGGGCGACGCCATGTCAACGCGAATGCCCTGTCCCGGTTGCCTTCTAGTGCCATCTGTGCTGGAGCTGATGTCACCATGCACCCCAGCGACTTACCTTGTGGCGGATGCCCTAAGTGTGTTAAGGCTCACCAGACCTGGAATGTCTTTGGAGAAGAAGTTGACAATGTGGCGCCCTTGGCCAGTCCTGGAAGCTGGATATAAACACCTAGCTCGGAGGTAGAAACTGTGGAGGAGACAGTTTTAGAGTCTGAGGGCAATACTGAGGAAGCCAGTGACTTGCCCTCTCCCCCTGGACCAGCCAAACCTTCAGTTAGTGAAGTGGCCTATGGTTATGTTTCTGGGGGATTGTTAGGTCGCATTGGTCATTACTCTCCCCCGGAAGTTGACTTTGATGATGAGGAGTCAGTAGAGGGGCCCTTCCGGACCCAGATTCGCCTCGCTAAGCACCCCCACATTGTGGCAGTAGTGGGGGCACCCCCTGACGATTCTGGTAGCCCGTTGTCATTTGTGGGTTTGACCCCAGAGGAAATGAGTCTATGCCAGTTAAGGGACTCGGAAATCAGTCAATTTCTTGACTGGTTGGACGATGATGTAGCTCCAGAGCAGCAGGCCACCAGGGCATTGATAGAACCAAGGCACGCCTGCGTGATAGATTCTTCTGGTATGGCATGATGAGGGAGGCAGAACAGTTCGTGAGCACCTGTGGTCCTTGCAGCAGGAATAAGCATCCTCAGCGCCATGCCCGGGCAGAGATGATTAAGTACCATGCTGGCGCCCCTATGGAGAGAGTCCATCTTGATTTTCTGGGGCCCCTACCCCGGACTAAACAGGGCAATGAATATCTACTTTTCATGGTCGATCAGTTTACTAAGTGGGTGGAGTGTGTCCCTCTGCCCACTCAGACTGCTGAGGCAACAGCTACTGCTGCGGTCGATCAGTTCTTTGCTCGCTTTGGCTGTCCCTTCCAGATCTTCACCGACCAGGGTAGGAACTTTGAAAGTAAGCTCTTCACAGCAGTGTGCGACTTGTTGCAGATCCATAAGACCCGCACCACTCCTTATCGTCCATCAGCCAATGCCCAGGTAGAAAGGTATAATAGAACCTTGATGGATGCTGTGCGTTGTTATATAGACAAGGCCCAGAACTGCTGGGATGAACATCTTGCCCAGATAGCAGGTGCCTTGCGCTCTGCAGTCAACCGGAACACAGGCTTTACTGCGAACAAGCTGATGTTGGGCAGGGAAGTGAATATCCCTGCTGATCTGATGTATGCCCCACCTCAGAGGGACCCGGCTGTTGACCTTGAGGGCTACGTAGTGAATTTGGAGAAGGCCATCCAGTCAGCTCATGAGACAGCCCGGAGACGTCTCCGGACCTCAGAGGAGCGCATGAAGAGGGATTATGACTGACCTTGAAGGTCTGTGCCAGAACTTACAATGAGGGTGACCTAGTTTACGTCCTTGACACGGCTACTGTCAAGGGGAAATGCAGGAAGTTGAGCCCTTCCTGGAAAGGACCAGGTATTATCTTGAAAAAGTTAAGTTCCCACCTTTACCGAGTGAAGACCAAGCTTACGGTGATGGTTGTCAACCATGATCGCCTGAAAAAGTGTGTAGATCGGGACATACCGTTATGGCTGTCCCGGTATCAGGAGAAGTTCAGAGCCCAGTCCCAGGGAGGTGGTGAGTTTAGTAGTGTCCCAATGTCCCCCGGGGAGAAAGCTCCCTCGAGTGAGGTCCCTGGACCTTCCCAGTTGAGCTCGTCTTCAGACAGCCCCCCCCGTATACCGAGAAAACGGGGGTGCCCACGTAAAGTGCGGTCGCCCTCTACCGAGTCCGCTAAGTCGTCAGATGGGGATCTGACAGACTCTGAGCTCTATTGTTTCTGTCGTAGACCGGACGATGGGGGGCTAATGATTCAATGCGACCAGTGTGACAGTTGGTTCCACGGGGTTTGTGTGGGGGTCACTTCAGAGGAGGCTTCCTCCTTGGATCAGTATATCTGCCCAGATTGTATGGGGGAACCCCGGGTAGCAAACGTTGGTGTTGTTCTGGAGCCCCCATCTTGGCCCAGGGTAAGACGGGTTACCCTGGCGGTTTTACAGGAATGGTAAGTGGGTCAGCTGGCTTTGACCCGCTCTAGCGTACCCTGCAAGGCCAGACTCTTTACCTGGGAATTATCCCGGACTCTAGGGCCAGGAAGTGTTTAATTGGGAGCGATCCCAGACCCCTTTTTCCCAGGAGTTATCTTGGGTGTGTTTTGTCTGGGGCTTGCCCCGTCCCTGGGCAGTCCGCCCGGGTGGGCGTTAACAGCGCCCCATCGTTGGAGATGGTTCCGAACCCTCCCTCGCACTGTGGACTCCTGCCTTTCAAAGAAAACGGGGGGGGGGGGAGTGTAGTATCTGTGCGACTGTCCCGTGGTACGACCTGCTGATGATGTTACGTCAGATGGCGGGACAGTCGCACGGACTTCTTTCACCGCCAAGATGTCAGACGGACAAGACGTGCTGCAGAGACGGTGAGTCAGCCCGGGCCAGAACCCACGACAGAGTATATATTTGTATATTTGTAAATAGTGCTAATAAATATTGCATAAGTACTACACCCCTTGGTAGTTACTTTAATATTAATAACGATGATGTAATAGTTAAACTTATTGCAGAAAAGGTTTTTTTTTTTTAAAAAAGAACCTTATGATTAGGTTTGTGAAAATAATAATGCTGTAATCAAGTTGCAGTTTAATTAATAAACATAATATAGTAGCACACTATTTCAGATATAAAATTATTCATTACTTTTTTGAAATTTTGAGCATGGTTTATACCTCGTATACATCTTCCATAAATAAAACAATTATCAATTTAAAGCTCAGACAATTTCTTCTTAAAATAATGTTTTGCAATAAATACTGTTATGCAACAATTATTTAATCAAATCTTATGGTCCTTTCAATGACCTTGATTCCAATTACAATCTGTCCAATTGTTAGGCCATTATATTTATGCTGAATTATCTATGGATAACTCCCTCTACCCGATCAAGATAAAGGGCTCTTGGGGGGTCTGATGGGTCGGTGGGGGACACAAGGGATAAGGACGATTACTTTCTAAATAAATCGATTAAATTACAATTATATGTACTTTTGATTTAAATAGGAATCGATTACAAGCTGACTACAGCCAATTTTTAAAGTAATCAATTGCATCTGATTTTTTTTCCATCTTGTAATCACGATTTCTTGTGATAACTTTACATTTTTTTTTTGTTTAATGTTTGAGGGAAACATTTTTAAATCATCATTTACATTTTAAAGGTAGAGTTCAAAGTTCTGTTACAAGTCCTTACATAGATGCTCGAGATGGTTTATCTGATCAACTGATTTCTATATTATATACAAGTAAATATCTGTGTTATGGTTGAGGGAAAAAAACCAAAAATATAACAAATTTTTCAATCAAATTGGACATTATTATTGTTAGAGATAAAGGGATTAAATAAAGAACTGTTAATTAAATATTTGAACATTTCAATTAAACTGCCAATTGTTGGATGTTTTTACTAGAATTAACACTTTGACTGGACAAGAATGGTTAGTTCATAATTGTTAAGATACGTTTGATAAAAAAACCATTCGTATGTTTAGATTTTTTTGAAAATTTTTTTGCATGTTAATTGAAACAAAAAAGTCAAACTTTAAAATGACCCTGGCGTAACTTTATCTTATTACCATAATTTAAAAGATTATCCCGCTAAAAGATTAATGTCGTGAGTATTTTTCTTAACACTAGCTAATTAGCAAACTCATACCAAAGGGAGGTAACCTAGTGAATGCCTCCACCCGGGCTCCATACATTATTCACGCAATATATCTTTAAAAAAAATAGCAATTCTTGCAAAAACATTCTCCAAGTGTAAATTTGTCTGATTGTATGTAAGGTTCAGGTTCAAATATTTCGTAGTCCGTAGCTTTGTATTGGATGTTTTCATTGGCTTCGTAAATCATTGAAATTCGTAAGAGACGAATAGGGTTTTTTGAATACTACTGATCTTGATAACATGGTGTTAGTGAAGTTGGAAAAAAAATATTGTTTTATGAGTCATTTGTACATGCATATGTATGTCATAATGATTGTACAAATACTCATGCTGTATCTGTAGGGCTGTTAAATGTGGTAAACCTTCATGCAATACAGACCAAACACTGTTATGTAATATTGCTGTGAAAAATGTTTTTACCTGGTACGCATCTTCCATTTTGACATATATCTCGCGGATCTGGACATGGATTTAACTACAAAAGAAAATTAAATTAAATCACTTATTACGTAGTTCATTCACAAAGCAGTAAAAATAGGAAAAAGAGATTTACACCAGGGTAATAAGGACAAATCTGTGATAAATTGTGATAAAGTTGTTTAAAAGTCATTTCATTAAGTAATCGCAGTTTGAATGCAATTTTGTTTGATGTAAAATTATGTGTAAAATTTTAAACAAGACACCCTCGTTTTAAACCTTACCTGGGAGCATGTGTTGGAATTGTCTAAAATAGAGGAAAACGTAATGAATTAATTTTTCGAGGTCATATTAATTTACTGTTGGTAACGAGTTGCGGTTATCGCTCAAAATGTGTTAAATTTGAACTCGGTGTGCAACGATTCTTAGCAAACAGTTTTATTCAATTTTTGAATATGCAATTCAATTAAGTAATCGTTATCAAATTTTATTTAAATGTTTGTATTAAACACAGTTTGAAAGTTTACGTAAACGTAAAGTCGACATGCTTTAAAGCCATTGTAGATGATAGGAATGAACAGAAATTGGTCGTGGAGAGAGATTTGACTAGTTTAAGAGAGAATTACGGAGAACAAGCGTGGAAAACATTGTCATCAAAGAACAGCCTTCATAGAAATCTTTTTATACGTATTCATTTGAGAATACAATTGATCAGTTTATTGAATACTTCAAGTAAAAAGTAGACAACGAGGTTTGTAATAGAGAGAATTTGAAATTTACAAATAAGAATGATCCTTATGAAAAAAATAATCTCTTGCAATCAAAAGGGAAACGATCCCTTGTTTGTGCAAAATCTGCTTTTTTATGTTTGTCGAATGTTTTTGGTTATGTAGGTTGAATTCAATTTTACTTCAATGGTATTGCTGCAATAAGTATAGAAACTTGGCTGAATATAATTATTAGATTCATATATCAGATAATACTGATTATGTCAATTGGAATGTTTTTTCTCTCTCTCTTTTCCATCGACCTTTCCAGTTTTCATTGAAGAGATAATAATGCTCTGTTAATTCAAAGGTATATGTTAACAAAGGTATCGTAGCTGCACACTCTTTAGAAAACGGTTCATTGTCATTATTTACCCATTTAATTTCGAAATTTTTGAATTAGTTCATACCTCGCACACATCTTCCGTTTAGACATCTATCTCGTGGATTAGGACATGGGATACTCTAAAGAATATTCAATTATCTTAATTTTTTCCGAAATGTAGTTACATTCATCAAAAAATTAATTGTAATTTAGTTTTCTTAAATACAAAAGAACTTACAATAAAAGTTATTCGTTATGTGCATGATCTGAGCACAGATTAGAATCATAGAATTAAAATATCAACGAATCATTCATTATATTAGTAAAGCATTGTTTAATATAACTGAAGAATCTGTTTACGTATCATACCGTGGAACACTCCGTACCTGAAATGAAAGGAGCAACATATAATTATTCTTTTAATGGAAATGAATTTTAAATGGCTCTAAGACATACAAGAAAGATTCGATAAAATCATCACAAAATATCTTTATAAAATAAAGTTTTGTAATAAATGTGAATCGTTTCCAATTCTGACTAGTTCAATTTTATAGTATGTTCATTTTCACAATTAGCTTATTGATATTCATTTAATGTAAAATTTCCTTCTTTTTTTTTACCGATCATCCCGCTTATAAAAAAAATTGGTTACCGTTAGCTAAAAAGCGAAGTCCTACCGACTGACTAACTCATGTCTAGCCGACATTTACTTACCACCGTCTGGCCGACATTTACTTACCACTGTCTAGCCAACATTTACTTACCACTGTCTAGCCAACATTTACCTACCACTGTCTGGCCGACATTTACTTACATGTACCACTGTCTAGCCAAGATTTACTTACCACTGTCTAGCCAACATTTACTAACTACCGTCTGGCCGACATTTACTTACCAACGTCTGGCCGACATTTACTTACCACTGTCTAGCCGACATTTACTTACCACTGTCTGGCCGACATTTACTTACCACTGTCTAGCCAACATTTACTTACCACTGTCTAGTCAACATTTACTTACCACTGTCTAGCCGACATTTACTTACCACTGTCTAGCCAACATTTACTTACCACTGTCTAGCCAACATTTACTTACCAACGTCTGGCCGACATTTACTTACCACTGTCTAGCCAACATTTACTTACCACTGTCTAGCCAACATTTACTTATCACTGTCTAGCCAACATTTACTTACCACTGTCTAGCCAACATTTACTTACCACTGTCTGGCCGACATTTACTTACCACTGTCTAGCCAACATTTACTTACCACTGTCTAGCCAACATTTACTTATCACTGTCTAGCCAAGATTTATTTACCACCTCAAGCCGGTGTAAAGACGAACAATGACCCCCGTAGAAAATGACAGGGGGTTATCGAAAAATGACCCCCTAGATGTAGAAAAATGTAATTTGTTTGTAGAAAAAGAACCCTATGGACTATTTCTTTTACATGTGTAACCTATAAGAAATTGACCCCCGTTGAAAAATGACCCTTATCATAACAGAGTGATACAAAGTCTAAAAGAGGTGATTGATACCAAGGCTTGGGTCTCATCGGGTAATTATCTTGTGTTTTTCTGATTAACACTGAACGAACACGCAATTAAAATGTATTTAACAGCATTACATTTTTTCTTTTTATAAGACCTATCGTGTTCTCAGCACACAATTAAATCTGCACAATAGATATATATTATTAATAAACAATAGTTACTTCCTTTCATATGTCAACTTGATATATCCTAGTTTGCCATTTCTATTTGATATTTTTATGTTTTACTGACTATAGACTAACAACTAAATTGTATGACAAACAAGATGACTTCAGCTTTACCATTGTCAACTTTCCATATTTATGCAGTAACATCCCGCTGTAATCTGCATATGGTGTTTAAATTACCCAACTTATTCGATACTCGGGGGGCATGCTCCGTGGACGATCGATTTTTAAACCGAGGCAGGCTACTGATCATGACAGATAAGTTGATGGGATTTCAACAACCTCGTTGAAAGTAAGCATTTTGTAAATTCTATGGTCGTTATAATGACCTTGTTATCAAATATTACCTATTATTGAGTCGAACTTTGGCTGACGTGTTACACATCAATTGTTAGGCCTTTGTTTTTATACTGAATTTGGCTCCGGAAATTTCCGTCTACCTGATCAATAGATAGGGCTCATCGCGGTTGTGAATGATCAACAGAAGATGTTTACTCCTAGTAAGGATCTGATCCCACCTCTGGAATTTCCAGGGGTCTGTATTTTACGCCCTGTTCACAGATTTATGATGTTCATAGATTTTTTTTTTTAGATCGATGACTGTTCGTCTTTTTCATTTATACGTCACAGTGGCCATTTGTTAAAGATATTATTATTTCGTCCAGAACCTAAGGCAGAACGATAAATTGTAATCATTGGATATATTATTTTGTCCGAGGGCTTTCCCGGAGATGACTTGGAAAAACTTAATGAAACTTTTCAGAAATGACAATCAGCAATTTAAATGTTCATTGAATATTTTGATTTCAAATGCCATCGTTTCTATGGAAACAAAAAAGACAAATTTGGACAATATTTATGAAACTTTATTCATTTATATATAAATCCACTAAGGCAATAAATTTTCTGAATACGGAATATAATGCTATAGTTTGGTGCAGTTGAAGCCCAGAAAAATTGTTTGGACGAATTAGATATTTGTTCTGACAAAGAAGATAATAGTTCTGACAAGTTAATTCTTCGTCGTGACGAACAAAATATTTGTGTGGATAAATAAGTTCAATTAAGTCAATTAAGTATACTCGTACGCTAGAAGAAAGATTAAATTGCTTCTGTTCGGAATTGTTCGGGAGAACTTGATATTTACTTGTGCAATTCAGCGAATTCCATATTTGTTCGAACAAATTTGATGTCGCTTCTTTGGACAAGACTTTTCTCTGATAAAGGAGAGCATCTAGAAATTAAAGATGGTACATGTGTTAAGCACATGGATCAAGTGCACATTGGTTTCTAGATAGGGATATCTGATCAATCTTTTTAATTACTCAATTCCTTTGCGGATGATGGGGTTTCATATGAAAGTGTTCTTGCAGTTTATGTTGAAATTGCTTGATTTTCAACCTTTGTTTGCCATATACACTGGATAGTTAATGAATGCTTGTTTTTCGGTTTTCTTGAAAATGTATACGAATGTATCTAAAACACGTAATTCTTCTTATTCAAATTGTTATACATTTTTGCTATATGTCAGAAAATTCTCTCTTTCTCTCTCTCTCTCTCTCTCTGGATAATATAAGCGAAAAATAAAGAGGAATATTCTTTAAACAATGATACATTAGTCAAATCAATATGGAAGCATTTCCAAATAATGTAGATTGAAGTTGATTATTGTTGTCAATTTATCATAAAAGACATTTGAAAGATTTAATGAAAACAATAGATCTTCAATGTACCTTCAAGAAAACAATAGATCTTCAATGTACCTTCAATTTACCTCAGGTGAGCATTCTGATCTACGGGCCTCTTGATTTATAGTTCTTTTGATAATCAAAAAGGAAAATTTATCCCTAATAAAATCTACAAGGGGTCATTATTCTACGCGGGGGGGGGGGATTTTTCTCCCCGTAGGGTATGCAGATTTTAAGGGTGATGCTATTTTTTGTACAGGCAAAAGAGTTTTTTCGACGTCAAATAATGACCGGGTGTCATTTATCGACGTCTAAAAATGATACCCGGTCATAATTCTACGGGGGTCATTATTCATCATTACACCGGCATTTACTATCCACCGTCTGGCTAACATTTACTTACCACCGTTTTAACATCGCCTAGCTGACATTAACTTACCACTGCCTTGCCGATGTTTACTTACCACCGTCTGGCCTGCATACATTATTGACACAGCGCTGCCCTTGTGGACAATTCGATTCTCCGAAAATCTATCGAAAAATATTTCGAAAATTATTGTAAAAAATAAAGCAACAAAAAATCTAATGCAGTGAAGATTGCCTTATGAAATCATAATCTCTTTAAGACTGATTAATTCCTTTACCTATTGAAATAGCAAAAACAAAAACAAAAATAGAAACTATTTTACTTACACTTATACAGTTTTGTTGTCCTTGGACACAAACAGTGGATCCCAAAACTAAGGCGATGATAAAGTACCACATGTCTGCCTAAAGAAAATTTATAGATGAAAAGACGGGCAAAAATATTTTACATTTTGAATTATTAATTGGACACTGCTTTACGTCCCATTCGAGAATTTTTCACTCAAAGAGACATATACCGGTGAAGGGCTTCAAATTAAGACCTATAATCGGCAATCAGTGTCACTGAGCAGTGAGGGTTCATTATCGTGCCAATGCCTACCGTGACATTGGGTATCAGTTTTTAAGGTCTCATCCGAAAGACCCATGACTTTCACTTCCCGTGTCAGACTCTTGGCAAAGGAACAGTCACTTTCTATTGTTTACGTCTTAGGTTTGACGCAACGCCGGTGTTGTAGAGTCGTATTTCCCCCGGAAGTCTGGCTCTAGAGTGAGAGCCACGCTTCCCTGCAGGAAGACCTACTTTACTACTAATTTTAGAATCAAACTCTTCCAAAGCATGTCTTCCTCGTCCATTTAATATTGCTTTTACTAGTACTACATTCACTCTATAGAGATTACTTAGTTATAAGCCTTTACAGCGGTGCATTAATTCCCCCCGGTTGTACTGAAGGTGGGGTATATAATTGGGGCGCTTGCACTTAAAGTGGGGTATATATTTTGGGTCTGACTGTCCGTTGGTCCATTCTTCCGTTCGAATAGCTGATTTTCTGCCTAAGTGTAAAACTTTCGTTTTTGGGCGATATCTAACAAAAATTTGTGATCATGAAATGAAATTTTATATCATCATTTCATATGCCTTGGGTAAGTACATCGTACTCATATGACTAAGATAGCATGAAATAAAAGTTTATAAGACAGCGTGAACACTACTTTTGTATTAATTACTATTTTCTTTAAACATAAAAATTATATCCTCCTTTTCCTTCCAATAAGTTGACAAATTTATAAATTACCTTGATGGGAAGGGGGTGTTTCAACTCTACAGCAAAACTTAAACAAGGAAGCATGTCCCGAAAGTGGGTCTTCCGAAAGGGAATTGAATCACTCTAGAGCAAATCTTTCGGGGGGGATTAAAGCTCTAAAGTGAGACCCCCCTTATGTAGACTATGTAGGGACAATGATCAGTCATAAATACAGTAGACAAACTGCTGTTATAAATGTGAATCCAGAGCTACAGTAGTTAGAATAATTCCATTCTTTAATTTCTGGTAGTTTTTGAGTCGTCTAGCATTTATATTTCAAAAGTTGCACGTTATAAATTCCTTTGTAAAGTGACGTACTTTTACTTTCTACAAGAGAATACACCAAGTTATAGTATTTGTGTATACAATATCAGTGAGGAACAAAGCAATTTTAATGATCCTGGGAAGAACCTCTGGTAAATGTAAACCTATCTGATGAGTGAGCTTCGATGATTTGGAAAAAAGAAAAAAACTTGACATGGACTGTTAAAAATTTATTTTTACCGCTTGACCTTAGTTGTAGAAAAATATACTGTAGCATAAAAGACGTAAAGAAAACATTTGAAAATAAGCTTTTCTCTCGGAAAGTTAAGTCGCAATTAAAGTCTGATTAATATTTTACGCTTTTCATGAAAATTATAGGCCACAATTCCCCCTGGAAAATTACTTCTCTTCACACACAAATAAGAATATAAAATAGGCTTCTCTTTTATTATAATGAACTTTCAAATCAAATTGAAGGGGATATATACATTTTTAAGAATTCAACAAAAAGGATCGATAATATAAAAAAAAATTGTAAGATAACCGCTGAGAATGAAAAGAATCCATGCCCCTCACAATTAATATATATATATATATATATATATATATATATATATATATATATATATATATATATATATATATATATATATATATATATATATATATATATATAAAACTAGTAAGCCATTGCATTCACAATATCTTGCAGACACAATATCTTGCAGACACAATATATTCCAACAATCTATTGGAATTTCCATGGGTACCAATTGCGCCCCGTTATTAGCAGACCTTTTTTGTATTCATATGAAGCAGAATTTGTCCAAAATCTTGTACGTGAAAAGAAGAAAACACTTGCTGTGGCCTTCAACTCGACATTTAGATATATCGACGATGTATTGTCAATTAACAATGGCTATTTTCATTCTTATGTCGATACGATATATCCTGGTGAGCTTGAGATAAAAGATACCACAGAGTCTGACACATCTGTTTCATATTTGGATATTTTACTTGAAAAAGACGTTAATGGTAATCTAACAACCAAGCTTTATGATAAACGTGATGACTTTAACTTTTCAATCGTCAACTTCCCTTACTTATGCAGCAATATACCTTCATCACCTGCATACGGGGTATATATCTCTCAGTTGATTCGATACGCAAGAGCATGCTCTACGTATGAACAATTTCTAAAACGAGGTAAATTATTGACAAACAACTTGATGAAACAAGAATATCAGCTGTCTCGTTTAAAGTCATCATTTCGTAAGTTCTATGGTCGATACAATGACCTTGTCAGCAAATACAATTTATCATTGAGTCAAATGCTGACTGACGTTTTTTCATACTAATTGTTAGGCCATTATTTACACGCTGAATTGTCGACGGATTTTTCCGTTATTTCCCGATCATGACAAGGAGCACACGGCGGGTGTGACCGGTCGGCAGGGGATGCTCACTCCTCCATGGCACCTGATCCCACCTCTGATGTTTAGAGGTCCGTGTTTGCTCTGCTCCTATTCTGTATTGTTTAATGGACTTTTGAGCTTGAATACTGTTCGTTATCTCCATATATTTCATTCCATCCACTGAATATTATCTCCTTTTTTTCTCATTAAAACCATGGTCGTTTATTAATACCTTATCTCCGTCTCCGCTAAGCAAGCCACCTGTTTAGATTTATTGAGTATTGGCTCTTCCTTCAATGAAATATACAATGGGGTACATTTCAGTAATACAATATATAACGTATTTAGTCATCCATTCTATGATAATTAGAAAGTATAAATATAAAAAATAAAATTTATTTCTTTGTTAGATTGGGGAGTAACATTACACTAATTGCAAAAAAATTACATAACCCGCTTATGCGGATTATTTTTTTTTTTCTGCAACAGCTACAACTATAACTTTTATGGACAAAAATATAAACAATAGAAAAACTTTCTTTTTGTAAATATGGGAATAAACATAACAGCTATTACAAGAATAAATTATATAACCGCTTATGCGACTTATTTTTTCTGCCACAGCTGCAACATTAACTCCCATACCATTTACCAAAGAGGGCATTTTATTGTTTAAGTAATTCGATTTCAAATTTAAATGCGAAATGGAGCTTTTTTTCCATCAGGACATACAATCATCTTATTCTAATTTGATTGCAGTGAGTTAATTCTTTTCGCAAATAACAAAGACTTTAACATCATATATGTCTAAGGAATATAAATATCTTGAAACTTGAAGTTTCTAGAGAAGATAAAATGTCAACGTTGGTGTATGATTGAAAAATACTCACTTATGGAACATGAAATTGTTCAAACAAAGCCAAAACATAACTTTATTCTATATTCTAAAAAAAAAAAAACAGAATTAACGTTCTATCAAGATATTTGAGGTCAATATTACAATTATGCCATGACCGTTAACAGCAGAAGGAGAAGCTTCAGGATTACTGTACAAAAATATATTTGAGAAGGGGTATAAATCAGATGTGGATACTTAAAAACTCCAAGGAACTTTTAGAAAATTTGAAATAAAAAAATTGCCAAAATCATTAACGTCAAAACGTACGACTTTTTAACACAATTCATACAACCATTCCCCACGATAAAAAAAAATCCAGGCTTCTTGACGTCATAGACAGCTGCTTTTCAATAATAATGGAACTCATAAATTTACATACTTTGTCACAGGTCATTTGCAAAATTTTTGTTAAAACATTTTGATTGTACTCACAAGCACTCTGAAGTTAATATTAAAAGGATGCTTGAGTTTCTGATTTACAATATATTCTATGTAGTTTTTAGAGATCAGGTCTTCCAACAATATGTCGGAAATGCATGAGTACCAATTCCGCCCCATTATTAGCAGACCTATTTTTATATTCATATGAACCAGAATTTATACAAAAACTTGTACACGAGAAGAACAAAACACTTGCTGTGGCCATCAACTCGACATTTAGATATATCGACGGTGTATTATCAGCTAAAAATAGTTACTTCCATTCCTATGTCGACTAGATATATCCTTGTTAACTTGAAATTAAAGAAACCGCAGAGTCTGACACATCTGTTCTGTTTCACATTTGGATATTTTACAAGAAAAAGACGTTAATCGTAGCCCAACAACAAAACTTTATGATAAACGTGATGACTTCATCTTTTCTATCGACCACTTCCCTTACTTAAATAGCAATATACCCTTTTCACTTGTGTGGGGTTTATGTCTCCAAGCTGATTCGATAAGCAGGAGCATGCTCTAAGTACAAACAATTTTTTTCATACTATTTGTTTGGCTATTATTTACACGTTGAAATGTCTTAGGATTTTTCCGTTTTCCTAATCATGACAAGAAGCAAACGCGGTACGGTGGGTGTGACTGGTCGGCAGGGAATGCTTACTCCTCCATGGCACCTGATCCCACCTATTTTTAGAGGTCCATGTTTGCTCTGCTCCGAATTTGTATTGTTTCAATAGACTTTTGAGTTTGATCACTGTTCGTTATCTCCTTATATCATTAAAAAAATCATATATGCTTGAAATTTGTTCACATTAATTTTTAAAATTAACAACAAGCTGTCTAAGCAGTTGGTGATACATAAACATTTTACAAGATGAAACATCGATATAGGTTTGTTAACATTCGATGCTTTTTTTAAATCACATATTCAGGTCATTGTCAACAATTTGGTCCTTGATAAATTACAGAACATGTTGGATACTCTCATTTGTACTTCTACTTCTTGCTCTCAACAACAATAATGTAGTCTTTAATAGAGAACATATACATAAATACGCTTTATTTCTCAATTTGTTAGGTAAACCTTTTGGAGTATTAATTAAAAAAAAATTTAAGACCTTACTGATTCATAAGTAAAAGTTTGATTACCTTGAAAATATTAATAATTTTTCAAAATTCATGTTAGTGATCACAATCAAAATTGAAGTCAATGTTACATAAAAAAAATTATACATATCACCGATTTGTTTTCCAATATTTTTTTTTTTTAGAAAAGGAATGTACATATTTTTGGGTGATATAATAGTTTTACAAACTACATATAATTACATTTTATTGTGATACAAAGTATTGCAAACAAAACTCTTTTACAACTAAAATGAAAAAGCATTTCAACCAAGATACAAAAAGTAAAATGCTTACGAATAAAAAAAAATTAAAATCAGTTTAACTTCATATAGATTTATAAGTTAAGTTTTAAAAAAAAATTCTCAGAAGAATCACATAAGCCAGGAAATACAAACCGATAAAGTAAAGGTTATGTTTCGCTTTTTCATTTTGTTTTCTCAATTATATGTAATAAATTAAAAATTCGTTTAACAAGGAGGGAAAACAGACTTTACCTTTCACAAGCTCCTACCAGATTAATTGTAAATCTGTTCCTCGATGGTTGGAGAACATGATCTATTACATCATTACACTTTAGATGTATCACTTAATTACCATATTGTTTGAGGATGTGAATTTCGTATATTTAATTGTTAAGGTCAATCAAATTTAATTCACATGGGTTTTAGCTAGAGACATTCTGTCAGTCAAAAATCATACAAATGTGTTTTAGATTTTTATTTGAATTGACCTGTGTTCTTAATATATTTTATTATATATATTCTGTTCTTTACATTAACATGGTTTTTTTTTTTAAATTACTGTATATTAGCCAATTTCCATGTCATTTTTTGCAGAATCTCTTTATTGTGATAAGTGCATCAGTGTTTAACATCGTCACAAGCTGAAAGAAACATTTTTAAAATATTCAGCACAATAAAACAATTACTAAAGTATAATAGAAAAGGTTTGCTGAAAAAAGTTCGAACATGTACATGTATTTAGTAGAGACTTAAGTAAAGCTCTACTTCCAACATTGGTAACTGTTTAATTCTAGATTTATGCTGTAAAAGCACTACAATGTTTTATTTTTGACAAACTCATACTTAGTAGTATTTATTTTAATGGGCACCATTGATATAACCTTACTATTTGGCCAATAAACGAGTAGCTCTAGTTTTTTCCCTTAAAGCCAAGAAGTAATTGTAAATATTGTTTCCAAGTGAGAATCATGTTGGATTCAAATAGCCGAAAGGTTCATAAATGGCGCACTTGACATTTGATACCGGCTTTTACAATGTCCTTCACTTGGACACAAGGTATAAATCAGAACATGTGCCCTTTAATTAAAACTAGGTGGAAATCACTAATGACTGTTCTGTTTTTTAGCATCTTGGAAGACACATGTAGACTATTTCTTGTCGGCGGTCTATGTTGAAACCATAGAGTGATATCCCAAAAATGGTATTGTAATTGTCTATACAAATATATGAATCAACATCTCTTGTGTTGTCTATTAGCAGCCTTGAACAGAATAACAAACAGGAAACATTAGATACTGGAATCCTTATTGAAGGATTGCTTTGTATAGGGGATTTTTCCACAGCTAGACCTTAGGTCAAGATTAACACTAAGGGTTCCAAATTGGTGTCTCTGTCGCAACTTAAGTGTCACATCAGTAAAAACCATTTAAGCAAAATGAAATTATTATTATTTATCAGGACAATTTTAAAAGAATAATTGATAAATCAACATCAGTTGCATTATGTCTTTTTTCTTGGCCAAGACTGTCGCAATGGAGATAAATATCAGACTATATGTACATAATATGTACAAAATAAAATTACTTAAAATATTTTAAGACTCCTTATAAGTAAAAAAAGATGTCTATAATTTTACATCAGGATTTTTGAATAATCTTGCCAAATTCAATTTTGGAATAAATCCTATATATAAAATTCCTTTCTCCGTGAACAATTTTATGCAACAAAAAACCTTTTTCTTTATTGGTTGCTTAATGTTTTTCTATGTACAAAGCCGTTTAAATGGTAATTTTCCTGATAAAAAGAATACCGAATTGACCTGATGTCATGGATACATGAATGATAGTCTGAATGGGAATTAAAACAGAGGGGCCCACAAATGGATGACTTGTAATTTTGCATAAATTAACTCCAGTAATTAGACAAATATACGATCAAAAGAAATGTCACACTATAATCTATAAGAACATAAGAACAAGAACTTTCTTTAATATAAAATCAACATTAAAAATCGTTGATAGAGATGAATTCCATAACAATATTGATACCTACACTGACTTGTGCATTATTTAAAGGTCACTGTCCGTAGGCGACATATTTAGCATAATTTAATGTAATGCTTTAAGATAGATTTCGACAGTACTAGTGACGAACAGACTTTTGCTCGATCTTTCTTGATAACGGCAGTCCTACTCTTTTGCAGGGCAAATCAATATAATTTGAGGAAGTTTTATTTTGCATATAATTAACGTTTATTGTTACGTCATATTTCACCAAACTGTATCAACGAGCCTGCAAAAGAGCTTTAATGCAAGATTGTGAATGGGTCTTTCAGATACACTTCATCATGTACCAAGTAAGAAAAAAGGTATCATTTCTAAACTTTTATCGTCATGTAAATACGGGTTGGGCACGTATCAAATTTAAGAAAGCCCAACAGTACATTTGATTATTACGTACCAACCTTATTCACATCTCATTAAATGTTTAAAAAGGATTGTTTGAAACCTTTGAACGTCCGCCATTTACAACGTAACTGTACAACTGATCGTTTATGACTTAACAATGAACTTATGGTCACGAAACCTGTTTTTAGACATGCTTGTGAAAATAGTGTTATATAAGAGGAAATATTTGTGAATGTAAATATTAATACTTCATATGCTCACTGGAGTCGGTTAATTGGTAGAAAAGAACCTTAATCGAATCAATTGAAATATTCCTCACTATTCAACGCAATAAAAAAAATCATCATGTTGGTTAAGAAAAATTACATTCTTGGATATCGGAATTCCTACACTTAGTAAAAAAAAAAGTAGAAAAAATTATGTAGTAAGTGTTTTGTGTATTTGTTGTTTAACAAACGAGCATTTTCACTCGTGTGGAAACATAACCATACACTGATGAAGTGGCACTTACGACCATTGAGCAGTGAGGGATCTTTATAGTGCCAACGCCTACCGGGGCACGGGGTCTCGGTTTTTAAGGTCATACATTTGAAATACCCACAATCTCCACTTAAGGTACCAAGCGCTTGGCGAAAGGACAGTTGCTACCTACTTTTTTACAGTAGTGAAGTGCTGTGCTGTGTAACAAAATATTTGAGAAGTGGTGTAAATCAGATGTGGACACTAAAAAATTCCAAAGGAACTTTTGGAACATTTGAAATCACCAAATTTTACCAAAATCAACAACCTAAAAACTTACAACTTTTCAACTTTATATGCAACTATTCCCCTATTAAAGTGAAATCCACACTTTCTGACATCGTTGACAGCTGCTTTTTCAATAAAAATGAAACTCGTAAATTTACTTACCTTGTCATTGGTCATTTGCAAAATTACTTTGCTAAAAAAAATCTGATTGTACATACAAGTACTCTGAAGTTGACATTATAAAGATGCTCGAGTTTCTGATTGACAATATCTATGTGGTTTTTGGAGATCAGGTCTTCCAACAATCTATTGGAATTCCCATGGGTACCAATTGAGCACCGTTATTTGCAGGCCCTTTTTGTATTCATATGAAGCAGAATTTGTTCAAAATCTCTCACATGAAAAGAAGAAAACACTTGCTGTGGCCTTCAACTCGACATTTATATATATCGACAACGTATTGTCAATTAACGATGGTTATTTCCATTCTAATGTCGACACAATATATATCCCTCTGAACTTGAGATAAAGGATACCACAGAGTCTGATACGTCTCTTTCATATTTGGATATTTTATTAGAAAAAGACGTTAATGATAATCTAACTTTTTAATTTTTAATAATTTAATCTAACTAGCTTTATGATAAATGTGATGACTTTAACTTTTCAATCGTCTACTCTCCTTACTTATGCAGCAATATACCCTCATCACCTGCAGCTGGGGTTTATATCTCTCAGCTGATTCGATACGCCAGATCATGCTCTACGTATGAACAATTTCTAAAACGAGGTAAGTTATTGACAAACAAGTTGATGAAACAAGAATATCAGCAGTCTCATTTAAAATCATCATTTCTTAAGTTCTATGGTCGATACAATGACCTTGTCAGCAAATTCAATCATTAAGTCAAATGCTGGCTGACGTTTTTCATACTAATTGTAAGGTCATTATTTACACACTGAATTGTCGACGGATTTTTTCGTTATTTCCCGATCATGACAAGGAGCACACGGCGGGTGTGACCGGTCGGCAGGGGATGCTCACTCTTCCATGGCACCTGATCCCACCTCTGATGTCTTAGAGGTTCGTGTTTGCTCTGCTCCTATTTTGTAATGTTTAATGGACTTTTGAGCTCGAATACTGTTCGTTATCTCCACATATTTCACTTGTTATCGACTTAGGTCTGTCAAGGCCAAACTACATTCCGATCACAGAACGAACGTTCTCCACTTGAGCCTACCATGAGGGTGTATACTATATAGTTACAGTGTGATCATATTGATATATTACTAGTGGAAATATATTGATTTACTGATAACGGGCTGTTGAATTTCCTGGAAACAGCTTTTCTTATAAGGGAACAAGTCGTAATATGATATTATGTTGACAGTGAGACAGTTGGAGCGTTCCATTAAAGTACTGCTAGTTTCTTTTTGTTTGTAAACTTTTGTTGTTACCGCGAGAGCGCTTAGTTTGTGGCGAGACGCATTTTTCAAAGGATTGTGGATCCATAGATTAATGCAATTTTTTATCATTGTGCACAGTCCGAATTTTTTCTTCATCCAGGCTTTGAATTAAAAGCTTGACGACGTTTTATGAGTAAACAATGTTCATTTTCATAACTACGTTGATTCGATATCTCCCTTTCAAATCGAAATAAAAGAACCACAGAATCTGGTACATATTTGGACATTTTACTGAAAAAAAAAAAAAAACATTAATAACAACCTTACAACAAAACATAATGAAAAACGTGATGACTTCCAACTTTTCTATTCGTCAACTTCCCTTATTTATGTAGCAATATATCATTATCATCTACATGTGGACTTTATGTCTCACAGTTGATTCGATTAGCAAGAGCATGCTCTACTTACGCACACTTTCTAAAAATGCAAACTATTGAAAATAAGTTGATGATACAAGGATATCAACAGTCTCGTATAGGGTCAACATTTAGGAAATTGTATGATCGATACAATGATCTTGTTAGCAAATACAATCTATCATTAAGTCGAATGTTGACTGACGCAAAGAATTTGCATGACTGTAAGTTGCGCCTTAGAAAATGTCCAGTTGCTGTTCATTCACCTCAAAAGTAAGACCTGTACAAGTCTT